ATTCCTTTGTTCTCCAACCCTTTAGCTCTCACCTTGCAGGGGGGAAGGGCCCAGCCCATCAGGTGCCAGGAAACAGGGTGTCGGCCATCCTCTGTGTCCAGACCCCTGCACACACCTGCCCTCTTGGGCTCTGCAATGATCATACACCCTTACCCCACCACCTAGATACTTAAGAACTGCATAGGGGAAACTGAGGCACCCCCACACTATTCAGAGGAAACATTAAGAACAGTCCTGCTTCGTCACATCTCTCCCCCCTTCGAGATCGAACTGAGCGGGGTCACTTTAGCCAGTGACCTGGGGAAGTTCGAAGCCACCAACATTCCCATGGATGCCCCAGTATCTCTCCCATTCCTTGGTAGGAGTTACACCTGGCCCTTCCAGTTTCACGCCCTCCCTTAGGTCGGGGGTGGTCAATAGCACTCGCAGGCTGCATGTGGGAAGGTTTATGCGGCCCATGCCCTTTGGCCACCCCAGAACCCCAGGGGGTCAAACTGGGATTGGGTCTTCTCCCCAACAAGCTGGCCAAACACAGCCACTTGGTTATAGGACTGTTTAACTTTAACAGCTTTCACTTCATCTGAGATCTTCTCAAAGCTCTCCACACTGGGTCTTTCAACAGGACAGTCAGTGGATCCATTCACAACAGAAAATTTCTGGCTGTTAGGAACTGAAACTTTCTTGATTAAATCACTTTCACACCCTTCAGTTGCAGTAAACTGCTTGCAAAGACTCCATGAGGATTCCTTTCCCTAGGGCTTTTCTATGCAACAATTCACCCCTCACAGAAATTCTGCCCTTACCCTCTTTACCTAGGGCTTGCTCTAGAGGAACACTTTCCTGAGTAACAACAGACTCGTTCTGGGTCTCCCTTACATCCAGAATTACCTCTGGCCCATCCAGCGGATTCCTACACAATCCCCTTTCAGGCAAACTGACAGACTTCCTAGATAAAAGGTCAGAAGCATTCTCCTTTCCTTTGTCACACACAAGTTCAGGAATCTTTTCCTTCTTGCTACAGGTTTCCACACCCTCAGTACGTAACAGAATCACATCATCTTCATGCTCTCCTTGTGCCCTGGCTAGGATCTCACCCTGATTAGACAGAGTTGCGACACCCTTTCCCAACAACACACTAGCAACAGGCAAAGTACAAGCACCAGAATTGTCTGGTCTCTGGGATTTTACATAGACACTAACTGGATGCGACCTAGTTACAGGGCCATTCTCCCGATCAAACACAAACTTAGGGCCCTTCCTTTCCTGGGCTTTAGCTGAATCCAGAATAAACTCTGAGACAACTGCACTACCCTCAACTATCACAGGCTGAAAGGCCCCTTCTGTCTGCTCCACAGACAAAGAAGAGCCGGACACACTTTCCCCTTGACCAGACACACAGCTTGGGATCTCTTTCCCCTTGTCCCAGCACACAAGGCTGGTCACAGATGACTGCTTGGAGATCAGGGTAGCTCTCTCCACAGGCAAGTCAATACCCCTGGCAGACACAGGCACGTTTCCTTCACTGTCCCAATTCTCCACCCAGCTAACAGGTAAGGTCCAGGGACACTCGTCTTCCACTCTCCTCGCCTTCCCACGCTGCTGACTAGACACAGCCATCAGCTCACAAGGCTGCCTGGGCTCATCCAGACTTTCCTTACCAAGCACCTTGCCACTCCCCACAGATCCCCTGCCCTGCCTGTGTCTCCCCCCACTCAGCTGGGGTCTCCGCTCCCACTGTGCTCAGCGCTGCCCTTGCTGTCCCAGTGGGGGTAGACAGCGAGCTCGCTGCTTTCCTCACTGCATCAGAGCCAGCGTGAGCCCCCTCTCCACCGATTGGTTCCCTGGATTCAAATTCAAACCCTTGGCAGTTACAGGAGCAGGGCTTGGATCCTGTCCCAAAGAGACACAGTCACCCCACAACAGGGTCTCGCAGCTGGTATCCTGGAGAACCCCAACGGCCAGCCAGCCGGACCTCTCCTGGGTCTGCACAGGGATCTGGGCCATAGGCAGGGCGAGGGGCTTCGTCCCTGGGACCCTCACCCAGCTCACACAGCCCCCCAGCGTCTGAGGCTGCACCACCCAGGGCCTGACAACAGTTCTCTCTGTCCCAGGATCTCGCCACCCCACGAATGTCTCCCCATTGACCATCACCTTCCGCTCCCACTGGAGGTCCGAGGGGCCTGACCCCAGGAAACTCCACACAGACATATAGGTTGGGGTCAGGAGTGGGAGCCTGTCCACCTCCCCACCCATCTGGCAGATGGAGTCTGTGTCCTTGGGACCCAGCAAGGGAGCTAGACACCGGGGCTTTTCCGCAGGGTCCCCCTGGTTCAAATCTCCAGCCTGCTCAAAGGCAGTGAGGTGACATCCACACCCCACCCTCCTTAACCAGGGGCAGCAATTTAGTCTCGAGGTTCCCTGCGGAACTGGCCCCCCGGGGTCTATCCCCACTCACCCCGGGGAGGTCCCCTAGGCCTCTCCGCTCCCCCACCGCCAGTTCATGCTGCTGCTGCTTCTGCAGCTCTTTCTCGGGCTGTCGCTGTCTCCCACAGTCCTCTTGCTCTCTCAGACTCAGCTCCAATCCCGTCCGTCTCCGATCCCCTGATGGGGAACCCGATTGTGAAGACCCTCGTCTGGTCAGGGACAGGAGTCTTGGGGGTGCCTGGCTCCCACTCCAGCTGCTCCCAGATCCTGCTATAGACCCATTTGGGGTCAGGAATCTGTTACTTAGAGCGGTCATCCTCCTCCAGCTGCACGATTAACTGTGCTTTGGTGAACTTTCCAACGCTCAACCCTCTCTTTCTGCACAGGGTTACAATGTCCCTCTTAAGGAGACGGTGACAGGCCATCACTCCGCTCTTCCCAAGTTGTTGTGGACTCACAGACCTGTGTGCTCTCAGCTCCCCACGGTTTCCAGGGAGAACCCCTAGTGTGCCAGCCCTTCTCAAGGTCACCACCTCTTTGCCAGGGTCGAGTGCAGACTCCTCTGCCCCTTGGACTGCTCGCTGCAATCCCCAGGGGACCCTGTTACTGCAAAAGTCCTTCTCTCTCCCAGGGCCAAGCTGTAGGCTCCTCCGCCCCTGAGACTGCTCACCGCAGTCCCCAGGGGGACCCCATTACTGCACAGTCCTTCTTGCTGGTCACACACTCCCAGGGGTTAACCACCCCCTGAAACCACTCCTCTCTGTGCCTTCAGCACACCTGGTCCCCGTCAATCCCCCTTTGTTTTACTGCTCCCCTGTCACTTACTGCAGGAAGCGCCGCCCACGGGGTGCAGTACATCCCACCTCTGCCACCAGTTGTCACGGAGTCCCTGGGCGATGTTCTGGAACTGCTCCCCATGAAGACAGTCAGGACTCTGGGGCAGTCGCCTTCCTGTGAGCAGCCTGTCTTCAGGACACACAGCTCACACAGCTTCCATCTTCCTGGGTCTGACCTCGGAGCATTCAGCATCCTCTGCCCCTCCATGCGCTTCCCACCGCGAGTCCGCTCAGGCGGAGCTCCTGGGGAAGCCAGAGGGTCCTGCCCCCCAACTTCGCAGTCAGACGTGACTCTCAGCCAGCCAGGAAAACAGAAGGTTTATTAGACGACACGAACATGGTCTAAAACAGAGCTTGTAGGTGCAGAGAACAGGACCCCTCAGCTGGGTCAATTTTGGGGGTCAGTGAGCCAGACAACCACATCTGCCCTTCACTCCATGTCTCCAGCCAGCCCTAAACTGAAACTCCCTCCAGCCCCTCCTCCTCTGGGCTTTGTCCCTTTCCCGGGCCAGGAGGTCACCGGATTCCTTTGTTCTCCAACCCTTTAGCTCTCACCTTGCAGGGGGGAAGGGCCCAGCCCATCAGGTGCCAGGAAACAGGGTGTCGGCCATCCTCTGTGTCCAGACCCCTGCACACACCTGCCCTCTTGGGCTCTGCAATGATCATACACCTTTACCCCACCACCTAGATACTTAAGAACTGCATAGGAGAAACTGAGGCACCCCCTCACTATTCAGAGGAAACATTAAGAACAGTCCCACTTCGTCACACAGGGGCTGGCAGGCTGGAGCGGGAGGACACTGCTTGTACAAGTAGGGACAATTAATACTACAAAATGGAGCCCGCCAGGCTGGGGCAATCACACCCACCCCGCCCCATTCATTGAGCTGACACATCACACGAACCAGGAGCCCTGCGCTGCAGCCCAAGGGATCAGGCCTGTTGGCTGCTCGCACCTCCCCGCAGCTGCTGTCCATCAGTGTGGGCGGCTGTGTGGGCCCTGGGGTCAGAGGGAGCGGTGCGGCCTCTGCCCTGGAACCCCTGCAGGGCCCGGGCGCCATGTGGGCTAAGGCCAGGCAAGCCCACCAACCACAAGCCAGCAGCCACAGGGCACTGCACCGCAGACATGAGTGCTCCCGCCCCATACACACAATACCCCCCATACGCATCTACACAACACACAATAGCACCCCCCGCACACACGCTCTATCACATGCAGCCCCACCACCGTCTCCACGCCAGCCATGGCCAAATAGTGGTGCGCACAGGTATGGACCCCCACGGCTGGGGCTGGGGTGCTGCACACACAGGCAGCCCGCGCTCTCCGGCATGTATGTAGGTGCACATAGCCAGACCTGCACGCTCACCCAGGCCCCGCTGTGCACACGTGGCCTTGCACCCTCTGGCCCAGGCAGTCCCCAACCCCGTGGCCGCTGCACACACCTGCATGGCCCTGCCCCGCCCAGCCCAGCCTGGGTCCCTGGCGCAGCGTCCCTGGCTGGGGTATGGGGCAGCCCCAGGCCTGGGCTCTGAGCCCCGCAGCAAGCAGCTGATAATTTTTTACAGCTAATCTTTCAAATTGCAATTTGTCTGGGCTGAGCCAATCCAGGGCCTGCCCTGTCACCCAGCCAATGGGAGCTTAGCCCCAGCAGCTCAGCCAATCGGGGTCCAGTATTCTAATGGCCCACATCTTTATCAGAGAAATGTTGCTTCTCTTGAAGTTAAACTTCTGTGGCAGGGGCCTGGGCGCAGCGTCTCTGGGGGCACCTGGGGTCAGCCAGGCCAGCCGGCCCTGGCATTGCATGGGCTGGGCCTGAGCCCTGGCCAGCCCTGGCAAGGTGCTCCTGGACCAGTCTGCCCCCCGGGAGCCCACCGGGGCACAAGGCTGCTGTGACGCCTGCTGCCCAGGCGGTGCCAGCAGCTGACGCCCAGGTGGGGCTGTCGGGAAGCGGCAGGACTGTGGCCAGCGGGCACGGCCCTGCACCGAGGCCAGGCTGCCTGGGATGGCTTTGCTAGCAGGCGGCATGCAGCCGGGGCGCTAGGGGCCGGCTTGGTGCATTCACCGGCCTCCGCCGGGGCGAAGCGGCGCCATGGACGCCAACCTGCAGGGGACGTTCCTGCTCAACAGCCCCTCGCTGGCCCCCTTCCCGGAGGCGAAGGCCCCCATGTGCCAGTACTCGGTGCAGAACTCCTTCTACAAACTCAGCCCGCCAGGACTCAGCGCCCAGCTGGCAGCCGGCACGCCGCACGGCATCACCGACATCCTGAGCCGCCCAAACAGCAGCCTGCTCTCTGCCTACCCCCACACGGGCGGCTTTAACAGCCTGGGTTCCCAGCCCGTCTACTACGGACCCCAGGTGGGGCCCTTCTCCAAGGGAGGGAGCGACTATCCATCCCGTGGCAGGGACTGCTGGGCAGACACCAGCCAGGACTGGCGAGGAGGCCGACCATGCGGCAGCAGTAAGTACCTGGCTTGGCACCGCAGCTGGGGGGCAGGGGGCTCGGCAGCACGAGGCCAGACACAGAGGTTTGGCTCAGCAGGCCCCACTAGCCCATGCTCCCCATGCCCCTACCAACTGCCCCAGCCCACCTGCGCCCCATAGCCCGTGCTCTGCTCCCTGTCTGGGCAGCAAAGCTGCTGCTGCTCCCAGCCTGGGGCAGGTGCCAGGCACTTGGGGCAGGGCCACCCTCCGCGGGACCATTCTGCTGGGGAGGTCAGAGACAGCTCACAAGGGCCCTGCCCTGCCCCCTCCACTCTGCCTGGCCATGACCCACTCGGAGGCAGAGCTGGGAGGGTCCCAGGGCTGTGCTCAGAGGCTGGTGAGTGTCTGTGCTGAGCACCAGGGAGGATGCCTGGGAAGGATGGCAGGTGACGGCACAACTGCTTTCCTGGGCCACTGCTGCTGGGACTCAAGTCACTTTATGCACCCGCTGGTGGGAGGAGGGGAGAGGTTAGAACCATTCTAGGGCAGGGCAGAAATCAGCGTCCTTCCCCCCGCAGGGACAGAGCTGAGCCCCCTGCAGGGAGAGGGGCTGAGCCCCAGAATCCTGAGCTGGGGGCAGAATCCCCCTGCCCCAGCTGGGCGCCTTGCTGCATGGGTGGGAACTCTGCTCTCTTCGCCAGCAGCGCGAGCTCCAGGACGTGCTACATTCAGCCCACGGGGCAGGGAGAGGAGCCAGCTCAGGGACCACCTGGCTCAAGGGAGAGGGTGGGACAGCAGGACTGGGGCAGAGCCTGCAGGGACCTGTCAGCCTGCCCTGCCCACCCCTCCAAGGGATGTGTTGGATGAGTGCTGGGAGGAGTGGGTTGATTGATCCCCAACCCTGTGGGCGTCCTTAGGGGCTCAGCACCCAAAACACACCTGACATGTGGGTGCCCCGGAAAGCCTGGCCCTGTAGCCACAAGCCCCTGTTCCAGAACCCCATGGCGGCCAACATGGGGGGAGCCCAGGCCCTGAGGGACAGGCTGCCCTGGGGCACTTCCCCACTGCTCATGCTAGCACAAGCCCTTGGGCCACGAGTGGCTGCTTTAAGCCGGCCACAGCAGCTGGCCTTGACTTGGGAGCAGCCGGGATGGGCACCATGCCCCTGGCTGGCTGGGCAAGGCAGCGTGCGTGCCCCACTTGCTGCTGGGCACCGGGGTGCCATGTGGCACAAGGGCCACTGGGCCTCTCAAGGGCATTTAATGTCACTCGTGGGGGTGGGGCTGGGCCTCCGTTTCCCTGATGGAGGCATGGGGGGCCCATCCCTTGTGGCTGTGATGACAGCATCCGAAACAAGCCCAGCAGGTGCCAGACCCCACTCAGGGGACAGAACAGCGTGCCCAATACAGGGCGTTACAGTCACCCTGAGGGCTGGGGGGGCACAGGGAAAAGCCCACTGGGAGGGGGGAGTTACTGTCACCTGTGGGGCAGGGGGGGCACAGGGAGCAGCCCACTGTGGGGGGAGAGTTACTGTCACCCGGGGAGGTTGTGGGGAATGTCCAGCTTTATGGGTGGGGAGTTATTGCTCTGGTCAGGGCATGGGGAGCATCCCACTCAAAAGCAGTGTTACCATCACCCTCGGGGAGGCACGTCTTGCTCTGGGGGGGTGTCCTGCTCTGGGGGAGGGAGGTGTTACTGTCACTCTGGGGGGGGTGGTCCTGCTCTGGGGGGGTTACTGTCACTCTGCTGGAGAGGGCCTGCTCTGGGGGAGGGGGGGGTGTTACTGTTGCTCTGGGGGGGTTACCAGCTCCCCAGGGAAGGTTGCAGGGCACATTCCCCTCTGGGGGTTACTGTTACCCAGGGAGGGGCATGAGGCATGTCCTGCTCATGGGGGGGGGAACTGTCACCCCAGGGAAAGGGGGGACAGTGGGGCACAACCCACTCGGCGGGGGGCTGCAGGCACAGCTCCCACTGGGCTCCGCTAGGGCTCTGCGCATCCTGCCCAGCTGCGCCCTCTGGGGCAGTAGGTGCCTGGCTGGTCAGCTCAAGCTGCGCCAGACCCCCTGCACTGACCGGTCCCCTCCCTCCGCCAGCCCCGGCTCACCTGGCCGACAGCATCCACAAGAAGAAGCACACGCGCCCCACCTTCACTGGCCACCAGATCTTTGCGCTGGAGAAAACCTTTGAGCAGACCAAGTACCTGGCAGGGCCCGAGCGGGCACGTCTGGCCTATTCCCTCGGTATGACCGAGTCGCAGGTGAAGGTGAGTGAGGGGCGAGGGCCAACGCTGGGACTCAGGGGCCGGGCCACTCAGGGCCGTTTTGTTAAAGGGGCCAGTGGAGACTGACCCGAGCTCCCTCAGGGCCGGGCTGGATCCTTAGGCAAACTGGCCTGTGGGGGGTGCCGGTTCACTGGGCACTGAGGGGCTTGGCCAGGGCAGTGGGGGCTGGTCACCCCTCAGCAGCAGTGGGGATGAACAGGGAGCTGGGAGGGGGGCCCATCAGCTCCGTGCAGCCCTAACGCACTCCCCATCCCCGGCCAGGTGTGGTTCCAGAACCGACGGACCAAATGGCGGAAGAAGAGTGCGCTGGAGCCCTCGTCCTCCTCGCAGCGGGCGGTGGGCGAGCGGGCCGCCTCTGAGACCGAGGACGACGAATACAACAAGCCCCTGGACCCTGACTCGGACGACGAGAAGATCCGCCTGCTGCTGAGGAAGCACCGGGCTGCGTTCTCGGTGCTCAGCCTGGGCACCCACAGTGGCTGAGCCACCGGCCCCCTGCAGTGCCTGGCACTGGCCCCATGCCCGAGATGCCTGTGCACCAGCCTGCTCGGAGCCAGAGACACGCAGAGCAGCGCCCGAGCTGGCAGGGGCTGCTCTGAGCGGGAGGGGTCGAGCCGTGAGGTACAGGGTCCTGGAGCAGGGTTGCTGGAGCCTGCCTCCTCCCCGGCTGAGTCGTGAGGGGACAGGAGCAGCCCTGACCCAACAGGAGCTGCTGGTGCAGCCTTGGGCCATAGAGCCAGGCTGCAAATGGGAAAGGGGGGCTCTGCCTCTGTTCCTGCCCCATTCTGGGAGGGTGCTGCCCCCACCCTGGGCAGGAGGAAGCCGGGCTCCACTATGTCCCAGGCTGTTGGTGTTACAGACCCTGCCGTGCCATGAGCAGTGATGAAATAAAGGTCCCAGCCCCCTCTGCATCTGGGCAGTTATTTGACTGTGGCGTGTCCGTGGGTGCAGCTGGCTGGGGCGGTAGCAGAGTGTCGATGGCTGAGCTGCCTGGTGGGGGGGTTAAGCTATAACCCATTGAACCCCCCACTGAGCAAAGTGTCCCTGCGGGACCTGCACTGAGTGTTGGCTGGCCTGGGCCTAGGCTCAGCACGCAACCAGGGAGAGGCGCTGGGGACACTCACTGGGGCTGAAAGACAGTAGCTGAGCTGGGGAGCCGCTGAAAGGATGCTGGCACTGCCGTGGTGACGCTGGCAGGCAGCCTTGACAGCGCTGCTGTGGGAAAGGTTGCAGTCCTGGAGCCACCAGCACTAGATTCCTGTGGGTACATTATTTATTAATTAATTTGAAGTTTGACCTGGGGCGTTGCCCCATCTTTCCTCATTAGCCCAGCCCTGCTCTCTGCCCCATGGACTCAGCAGGGCCTGCGTGCTGTCACCCTGCTCCTGCCTGAGTCCGTGCTGGTCACTTGCCCGGGCAAACCTGATCTGCGCAGCTCCCTGGGCCGGGCGAAGCCGACCCGCGCGGCTCCATGCAGGGCGGGTACCCCAGCAGGCGGCATTTGGAGCCCTCTGGCCAAGCATTAGTGTCCGAGGCCGGGCCAGCACGGACGTTCGCGCACAGGCAGTAACGCTGTGAGGGCTGCTGCCCTGAGCCATGGAGAACCGTCCAGCTGTAAGGGGCGATGGCCATGGGGTGCTGGGGGAGGGGTCCAGACAGGCCAGGAGCAGCGTGACCAGTCACAGGTGGGAGGTTAGCCCAACAGCCGCAGAGACACTGTTGTAGACCCGCCTCATACAGCAGAGTGCTGAATGCAGCAGGAGCACCCAACTACCCCAGTGCCAGCCTCTCCCAGCCGGGGTGCTGTGGGGAGCAGGGTCAGTGCCCTGGAGGGGGAGGGGAGCTTGGGGTTTCTTTGCAGCTTGTAGCTCTCAGGTGCTCAGCATACCCTGAGCTACTGCATGAGGCACCAGTTCAAAAGTCGCTCGTTAGGCCTCTTGTTGGAACGTATTAGCAGCAAATAAATACCATTTATCTTGGGGCAGTGAGTGAAAGCCCATTCACCTGTCGCAGCCACACGATTGATGGTGCGTCAATAGCAAAGGAGTGTTTACTGCCACTCCAACCTGCACACGCCCTCCGCCCACCCTATGCATGGGTCACAAGCGAGTGTGCCCGGAGCAGCATGTGTGTGCCCTCGCCCATGCTAGGCCCCCAGGCTGGCTTCCCCAGCCCCTCCGGGGCACAGCACTGCCTGTAGGGCGCATATGGGCTGCCCCAAGGGGCTGGGCTGGCCTGCGCTCGGAGCCGGAGCCAGGCTTGCTCTGAGACGCGCCGGGGCGGGCGGACTACATACCATGTGTTCAGTTAAAGTACGGGCACAGCCCCTGCAATAGGGGATGAGTGTGCACTTGTGCACGCATGCCACGTTCCCATGTAAACATGGTTCTCCTGCTCCTACTGCACCAACCACGGGTTGGCCAGACTCTGACCCTGCCTGGGTGTGGTAGCCCTGGGGTAGCGGGTATTTCAGGGTGGGGAGGGAGAGGGAGGCTGTTATAGTGCAAAGCCAATCCCCCTGCAGCTCTTTTCCCGTGGGTCTGGGCTTTCCCCTCAGTGCCAGGCATCGCAAACTGGTGCAAAGCTACTCAGATTTGGCCTCCGTCATTCACAATAGCATCGCTGGTGAGCTGGCCACAGCCCCACAGGCCAGGAGCTGCTGCTGCAGGCTGAGGTGGGACAGGCTCCCGTTCCACCGCCCGGGAGGAATTAAGGTGGCCGTGCCAGGGCAGAAGGTGCTGCAGCCGGTGGCCACTGGCCCCTCCCAGGAGGGCGAGGCAATGGTGGAGAAGGACGCTGGTCTGATTTTAGGTGCCACCCTGCAAAAAATTTGTCCCGCGGGTGGATTGCAAAAAAGACAAAGTGCAGTTGGTGGGTCACCCTGGTACAAGGTTTGGGCCTCACTGGATTGGCCATGCCAAGGAATGGGGACAGGGTGCCCTAGCCAGGCCACATGCGACGGGCCTGGGCACCCCCAATTGTGAGCCATGTGTGCGAACTCGCGCACGTCACTGTGTGCTAGCAAATAACCCAGCCCCTGATAAGCTCTCCTACTTACCAAAGGTGAGAGCCAATTACATGGTGGCCAGCTGTGAGCAAACAAGCTGCAGCATCCTGGGGAGGAAATCAATAGGAGATAAGGTGGTGTGGGCCTAGCATAGAGTGATTAGTGGGGGGGGGGCACCTTTAACCAGGTAGCCCAGCCCAGCTGCCATGACCCATTGGGGTCTAGACCCCCAACAGACCTCCAGCAGTCCCTGCCTGGCATCAAAGCCCAGCGCTGCACTGTCCGCCAGTCCCCACTGTTGTGAAACCATCACCAATGCAATGCAGCCCCGGGGTCACAGCACAGCCTGTCTGCTGGCACCACGGTACGGCCCCCCAGTCCAGCCCCTCCCAATGCCACGGCATGCCTCCCCCCACACACAGCCCAGCCCCCCCCCAATGCCATGGCATGGCCCCCCAGCCCCTCCCAACGCCACGGCATGCCTCCCACCCCCCCGCACAGCCTGCCCACCCCCAATGTCACAGCATGGCCCCCAGTCCAACCCCTCCCAATGCCATGGCATGCCTCCCCCATGCACACAGCCCGCCCACCCCCAGTGCCACAGCATGGCCCCCGCCAGCCCCTCCTAATGCCATGGCATGCCTCCCCCAGCGTAATTGCCCCACCCTCCCCACCCCCAATGCCACGGCATGGCCTCCAGCATCACCGCCCAGTCCCCACCCCCCACGGCATGGCTGCCCCCCACCCAACCGCACAGCCCCCAGCGCCACTGCCCATCCCCCATCCCCAATGCCACAGCCTGGCCCCCAGCCCGGCTCCCCCAACGCCAAGGCATGCCCTCCCCACGCCACTGCCCATCCCCCAACCCCAATGCCACAGCCTGGCCCCCAGCTCCACCATGCAATCCAGCCCCTGACCACTCAACCTGTCTGTACAGTAACCCCCAATACAGCCCCAGGCCCTACAGTGAGCCCCACACCAGCACAGCCTGGCTCCCGGCAGCACAAGAGCCCTTCCCGCTGAATGATGACCTATAGCAAATCTCTGCCCTGGCGCTGTGGGGGAGCAGGGCAGGATCCCGTGGGGCGGCCCCAGGGTACGCCATTGCGGAGGGGGCTCCTTCGGTGACAGGCTGAGGCCTGCAGCGTGGAGACTAGCAGGGCCAAGCCCCGGGCCCCAGGGCACTGCCGCTGGCTACCCAGCCCTGGTGCCAGGAAGGACTCTGGCCCCGCCAGGCTTCGGGCACAGGGGCGCGCCGGCTAGCCCTGTGCGGAGCCTAACAGGCCGCACGGCCCCATCTGCAGCCTGCAGGTGCCTGGCCGGCTGAGTCGTGACCCTCCGCTGGGCCACAGCAACGTAATGTCCTGAGCCACAGGCCGCCTGCCCCCTCCCCGGAGCCGGTGCCCCCTGCCCACAGTGCCTGGCTGCCCGCTGGCCCTGGCAGCCCTCCCGCTCGCCCTCGGGCCCTGTCGCCTGCATTCACCTCGCTCCCCTGCTGCCAGCCTCTCCCCGGCTCCCTCAGCCTCTCAAGGGAGGGGCTGAGCTCAAAGCCAGGCGCCTGGCAGTGTGGGACCCTCCCTGTCCTGCAGGCCTCTTGGCAGCCCTGCCATTGCAAAGCGCAGGCCCCTCGGCTGGCCCCACTCTGACCCCAGTCCCCACCCCCTCAGTGGGGCCCCCTGGGTGTCTGGGCCCAGCAGCCCCTGCCCTCTCCCACAGAGCGAAGGTTGTGCCACCCCCTGACTCCTCTTGGGGGGCAGGTGGGGAGGAAGGAATGCCAGTGAAAGAAGCAGCCCTGAAGAGAGCCAGGGGCCAGGCTGGAGGCCTCACACCAGGGTGCCAAGAGCATCAAGGCCTGGTCCTGTCCAGCGACTCAGGTAAGCTGGTGGTTGGAGAAGCCAGGCCCCAGGAATATGGGGCTCCCCCTGCAAACTCCTCTGGTCAGTGGGTTCTTGGGGGTCTCAGCAGCCCTGAGCCCCAGAGGTAGCCGCTTGGCTGGGAGCCTGGGCTCTGCTCTGCGAGGAAGCTGGCGGGATATTTTTTTGACATTTTCTAAGCTGCCCGGTGTGGCTGACAATTTTTAATGTACTAACTGCCTGGTCCAGTGAGCTGATTAATTGGTGCTGGGGAGATCAATAAAAAACAGAAAATTAAAACAATTTTAAAGTGATTAAGTAGTTTAACACCTGTCTGCTGCCACGTCAGCACCGGGAGACAAATAAAGCAGGTGGCAAAGGGCCTCCTGCAGCCAGGGAGAGTGACAAATAGTAGCTGTAACCAGCCTGCCCCAACTTGGCTCCTCTGCTGCAGCCCTTCCAGAGGGGGCCAGCTCTGCCCCACAGACCCCTGTGTTGCCAGGGAGGGCTAGCTCACTTCCTTCACCCGCCCACCTAGGCTCCCGCATCACACTCTGGCCGAGCCATGCTCATTTCTCCAAGCCAGGTGACACAGTGGGGCCAGAAGCCTCTCCACACACACACACACTCAGATCTAGAAGCGCAGCTACCTGCTCTGGGTTACACCTGGCCAACAGGATGCCAGCCTCTCCCCCAGCTATGGGGTCAGACAGTACCCATAGCCAGGCAGGCCTCCCCAATGGGGGACACACCACTACCCTGAAAAAACTAGTCATCCCTTTGGTTCCCTCAGCCCCCAGCTCCTGCACCATCCACTGGTTACCCACAGGGAGCTCAGATTGCTGGGGTGGGCGAGGGGGGTGTACCCTAGCCCAGACTGGCATGGACAGTCTATTGCCGTTCTCAGCACTGGGGCCTGGCTGGGCACAGACAGGGCACTGCTATGCAGAAGCTCACAGCACAGGAGGCCCAGTGAGGCAGTGCAGGGCACTGCTGCAGAGAAGCTCACAGCACTAGCATCTGAGCTGGGCACTGTGCTGGGGGAGCTCACAGCAGGCTCTCAGTCCTTTCTCTCCCTGAGTTTGCTGGTTCCTCCATTACCTCCCGATCCAATGCCGCAGCAGTTGTCTGTGCTTGGGCCTGCAGCCCTCAGAGCAGGACAGTGGGATGCAGACGCTGCCCAAGTTAAGCGTTCACAGAATCTCAGGCTGGCAGCTGCTCCGAGCAAAGAACCCTGACGCAGACAAAGTTTCCCTGGCCCTCAGCTCCCTGGCCGGCTGGGCTGTTTGTGTTAAAAGGCAATTGTTTGCAGGTGGTGAGTGTGGGCAGGCAGGCCAGCCTGGCAGGCAGATGGATGGCGTCTCCACTTCAATTCCACATCCCTTTTCTCCCAGACAAACCCCGTCGGATTTTCATAAATCAAAGCGCCAAACTGTTTAATAAAAATTTATTGACTTACAAGTGATTATTTATCAAAAGGCCATTAATAGCAGCTCCTGGAATGATGTGCTACAGGGTGGTGCAGGGAGACTAATAGGAAATCAATGCCGGCAGCAGGGCAGAATGTAGATGAGGGGCCAAGTGCCCCTCGTCCCCATCTCCCCACTGCTGCACCAGCCAGAGCCAGCAGCAGCTGCCTTGTGGGCTGCCCAGAGCGCCCCCTGTTTATTTATCGTTTACAAATGAAATGATCGATACTTTTAATCTAGAGCTAAATTTATTAACTTTCCCATCGGAGAGAGACGTATTGACTGGGGCCATGGGAAGGGGGAGCGTGGCAAGATGGATGTTAACCTGGCCGGCACGCACCTTGCCTGCCGGAGCCTGCCCAGGCAGCAGGAGGGAGCAGCCAGCCTGGCCGCCTGGGGAAGACATGGTGCGTGGCTCTGCAGCATGGGCACTCACAGAGACACTCGCAGCACCTCAGAGCTGAGGGCAGGAGCAGGGACACCCAGACATCACCAGCGCGTCCTGTCTCCCCTCCTTACCCTAGGAGGAGCAGGACCAGGGCTCTGTAACAGTGAGGAGAATGATTAGGCACTTCCGGGGACAAGGCCATTGTCTGTAAAGAGCCCCCTACCACCCCTGAGAGCAGGCACTTCTAAGCCCCAGCTGGGGCCTGGCACCAGATCCCTGGCGCCCACGTAACTGCGCTGGTTTAGGTGGTGCTGGAAGGCTTTGGCTGTCCACGTGTTCAGAGCCCAGCCCCACTGCGTGGAGGGAAGGATCCAGCCACTGTGCTCCCCAGCCCCAGGGGCCAGGCCCACACATGAGCAATGCCTGAGAGCTGCAGGAGGCCTGGAGCAGGCTTGGGGATCTGCTGTGGAGAGACCTGGGAGAGGCCCAGCAGGGGGGTGGGCACCAGGGCTGGAGCTGCAGGGGATTGGGCCAGGCTGGGGGGTGCTGCCGTAGGCAGGGCAGGCTCTGTGCCTGCCCCCCCCAGAGGATGCTCCTCTCCCTGCATCAGCTAGTCCCCTCTCCTCCCCAAGCCCCCCGGGGCAGGGGCTCTGGCATGTGGTGAAAGGGCACCCCCTGTGGGGCCCGGACAGCGTGACATGACCAGGTGTGCACATGGAGGGCCCGATCCCTGCAGCAGTTCACAGCTCAGGCAGGGGAGCCTGGGAGACAGTGAGAGGCCAAGGGAGGGTGCCTCAAGCAAAAGCCAGCAGCATGGCCAGCGAGAGCTGAGCCTTTGTAAGGAAGCCTCTGTGGGACAAAGGCCTCGCTCATACCTGTCAGCAAAGGGGTCCCAAGCAGGCCCGCCGCTCAGCAAGGGCCCTGCCCCTTGCACCTGGGTGATCTGCACTAACCCCTTTAAGTACTTGGGCCCCAGGCTTACGCCAACTGCCTATTACATGGGAGTCTGGATAGGGGGCCTAGCACTCATGGTGAGGTGGCCAGACAGCCCGATATTAGGGGCTTTGTCTTATATAGGCAGTTCCCTCCCCCCACCCCCCAAAAACAAAAAGTGCCCCAATTGTTCACACTTGCTGTCCAGTCACCCTGGCTGCTGGTGGCCCCTCTGGGTACACAAGTGCCCTGGCCAGGGGTGCCTGGTGCTCATGGTGACCCCCTGCGTACATGGTGGGGGAGCCTGGTGCTCATCCCAACCCCCCAGGGTACCCAGATCCTGGGATGGGGTGGGCCTGACGCTCACACCAACCCCTGTGCATACATGGGCCCTGAAGTGCTTCAAAACACCGTGCAATGCAGCTGGAACTAGGCTGCGGCTGGGGCTAGAGCCACTGCCTTGAGGCGGGGGCCACGCAACATGAGGAGAGCAGCGGGATCCCCCAGAGAGAGCCTAGAACCTGGCATAGGGGGCAAAGACTCCCCTTGGAGTGACTTCCAGTGGCTGTTCCTTCCCCCAGGTTAGAGAGGCCCAGTGGAGCAGCGCTGGAGCCCCTTGTCTGGGTTAAGCAGGCATGTTGGTGTGTGCAGTGCCCACGCCAGGGTGCTGGAGCACAGCCCCCTCCCAGCTTGAGGGGAAAGGCTAGGGTGCGGAGGGGCTGGGCCATAGACCCTGTGTGGGAGGCTGGCTGAAGCAGAGCCTGGGGGAGGCACCCAGCACAGCAAGGACTCATGGTGGGGCTCCAGGTCTCAGCATTTGGTGGTATCACTGCAGGGGACTGGCCAGTGGCCCAGCACTGGGGCAGAGGGAAACAGAAGCCAGGCCCTCCAGCCCCCATGTGGGAGGAGCAATAAACCAGCCCAAGCGCCAGAGGGAGGAGAATGGGGCTGTGGGCAACCTCCAGTCAGGACCCACTGCAGCTGGCCCAGGGAGATCTGGGGGCTTGAGCATAGCACCCAGAAGCAGCAGTGACTTTAGGACTAACATGGGCCTGAGCCCAGGCTCACAGCACAAAGGGAGAACAGCCCCTGCGAAGCGGAGGCCTGGGGCGTGCTCAGAGCCAGAGACCACACCAAGCTCTCCTGGTGGGCAGATGGCTCACCCAGGTGGGAACGGCTCTAAGGCTCCCATGGGACTAAGCCCATGGGTCTGGGGATGCACAAGCCTGCCAGGCCCACTCCTAGGCTGCACTGCCAGCATTCCCCATGCCACCCATGTGCTGATCCTGTGAGCACCCACTGGCCCATTGCAGCTGAATCAGCACTTCTGGAACTTCTGGACACCTAACTTCCAATTCATAATCGCGAGCAGCCTCATCCCATCATGGAACATATTCAGAGCACATGGCCAAGGAATCAGCCACAGAAATCCAGCCAGCCAATCCCCCGCTTAGGCAGCAGAGCCAGGGCAGGGGGGGGCTGGCTGGCTGCTCAATGGCCAGGGAGAGCAGCCCAGCACTTTTCACTCTCCCATTCCCAGGCTGCTGCTCTCCAACCCATGCCTGGCCCAGCCTTCCCTGACTCTCTCCCCCTTAAGTAAGGCGATAGGCCCCTGCAGTTAGGAAAGCAGGAGACAGTGCTAGACTGTAGCTTGGAGGATGCACGGCCCAGAGCAGAGGAGAACGGGCTGCAGCGGAGCGAGGCTGACGGCTCCATGCCCTGGCAGCCGTGGTCACAGCACTCTGCTCAGACAGCGATTTGCAGGGCTGGTGGTTCCACAGAAGGGCAGAGGCAAGCGCACAAGCAGCACTCAGCCCCTGGCAGGCTCCACCGGGGGCCCTGGAGACTGCACTCTCCTCTCACCCTAGAGGTGGTCACGCCATCTGTCTCACCGACCAGAGGAGAGGAGAGGTGGTGCTGCCACGCACAGGCTCTCCTTGGGGTGCTGTGGGCTGTGAAATGGCTGATGCCCTCTACCCCAGAGCTGGTTGCATGGGTGGGGCTAAAAGAAGGGAGTGCAGGGTGCAACCCTGGGGCTGGAATACACTAGGGACACAGGAGACTGGCAGCAATTTGACATTACACTCATGAGCTCACAGCTGCATGTGTCTGCACAGAACTCCGCTCCCCGCAAGGCCTGATGCTGACACAGGGCCCAAGCGTCACCAGCAAGGCCCACTTGCCTCCCTGCACCACACGGTCCCCCCCCCACCATCCAGGGAAGAAGCTGGGGTGGGGTGGCGCATGTATCTGTATAGCAGCTCTGAGTGCAGGTGGGTCCCTCTATCCCCTGGCTTCCCCTAGAGAGGTTAGAGCTTGGGGGGCTGACATAGGGGATTCCTGCACCGGAGGAGGGAACCCTGACGCTGCAGCCATTGGGGCACAGGGCAATGCAACGCGCCCAAGCTGTGCACCTCGGAGGTGCTATTCAGAAGAGTCACTGAGAGGGGTGGGCCTACAAGGTCCCTTCCTGCTGTTGAGGTATCTGTGGCAGCAGGGACCCCTCTCCTGGCTGCTGGCAGTAGCCTGGCACCGACCGACTCGCCCCCCCAGCCCCTCCCATTAGGCCCCACAGACCACGGCACAGCTGTCAGTGTTCCATTTAATGCTGGCCCTGCAACGGGCTGAGCTGTAACAGTAACGAGAAGGCATCTTTGCCAGCAGCCACTCGGGGCCTGCAGGCTCCAGGCAGCACAGTGTCTCTGGGGCAGAGCCAGAGGATGGAGGAGTGGGCTGAGCAGCTCTGGAGCAGCCTGAGTCCCAGGATACAACGTGGCTCCAAAGGGACCCGGGGAGAGCACTCCAGATGGGCCCGGGGACAGCGTGCAGGCAGAGAGCTCAGGAGCGGCTCCGGTCCTCATGGTTGCCAACAATCGTCTTGCTGTAGAGTTTCTGCTGCTCCTCCTTGAACGTGTCCTTCACTTTCTCCCTCTTCAGGCCCCCATCCCTGCAGAGAGTCGAGCGATCAGACAGGCTGTGGGGGAGGGCTGCCCTGGACTCACAGTACCTTTCCCCGAGCCCTGTTGGTGCTGGGGCTGCCCTGACCAGCTCTCACACACCTGGGATGGGAGCACTGTCCTCATTTTCCCGTGACTTGGTGAGCCAGGGCCAGAACTCAGAAGTCCCGGGCTCCTGGCTGTGCTCAGCCACCCGACCCCCCGGCAGCAGAGGGACCAACCTGCTCAGCCATTGGCTGCGATACAGGAGCCTGGCTGATGGACTTTCATTCTCAGCCTCTGAAGCCCCAGTGATCGGGAAAGGACACCTGCCTGGCTTGCTATTCCAGGACAGCACCCAGGGGAGAGTTTGTTTAGAAGCAGGGTGTCCCACCGCAAGCTGGCATTCGAGAGTAAGGCCCACACAGCATGAGCAAGAGGCAGCTGGTCTAGGCTGCACGTGCAGCTGCAGGCTCCAGAGGGCCCTGCCGGGGCATGCTCAGCACATGCTTCTCTACAGCATGGATCTGAGGCCTACACACCTCCAGGCAGGGCTCTGTGCACTGCTCCAAGCACCTGACAGCCCTGCCTCTCCAGGATCCCCCAGAAAACTCCACCGTGCCCCTGCACGGTTCAGTGGGGTTTTGTGTGCCCTCAGCCCCCACACTCTGCCTATGGACACGTACTGCACCTAGGAGTTGCTGCCTGCCTCACAACCACAGCCCTCCTGAACCAGGCAGCCAGAAGGCTGGCTCTGGCAGCTGGCCCTCCCTCCTGTGGGCTGGAGCCTGGGAGCAGGGTAAGCCAGGTACCTCTGAGGCCTTGGACCCAGCACTGGGAGGGGAAGTTCTGGTTCTGACTCACCACAGCAGATCCACAAGGCCTCCCTGCCTGGCAATTGCTGACTTCACCCGGTTGGCAAACTGGACAGCATCCTCTTCAGGCTGTGGGAGAGCAGAGCTGTTTAGTACGAGCAAGGGACCCAGCCCTCGGCAGCTCCTCCACAGGCCTGGCACAGCCCCCTCACTCACCTCCCTGGTCATGGGTGGCAGGTACCAGACGCTGCAGACGATGGCCCAGCTGGTCATCATCCTCAGCAGGTAGGTCACCATTCCGTACTTGCTGCTGTTCCAAAAGGCATCTCCAAACTGTGGGTCATACTGCAGAGGACGAGAGAGCCCATGAGATTGAGACCCACAGCAGGGCTGGCCGGGGCATCACCACGGGCAAGGCCTCAGTCAGGCTCCCCCAGCCTACAAGCATGGCCAGATCTCGGCTTCCCCACACCCACAGCACAGGTTCATGAGATGAGCCCCAGAGATGCAGGACCATCTCCCTACTGCCCACTACTCAAAGCGGAGAACAGCCCCTCACGCCAACCGGGGCTTCACAGCTTTGGGGCCCTGCTGCAGGGAAGCTGGGTCTATGCCCCTCCAGTTTCCCGCACGGCCACTGGGAAGGGCCTTGTTCTATAGCACCCCTGTTCCCGCCTTCCATAAGCGGCCCTAGCAGGATGGGCTCAATGCAGCCAACCTCCCAGAGGGGTACTGCTGTCTGCCCCAGGCTGGGAGCTGCTTGCACCTTGATGGCTACCGGGTAGACTGTGGCTCCAATTTCAAAGCTTCCCTTCTTGAACATCATCACAGACGTGTTGTTGATGCAGGTGCCTGTGAAGAGATGAGTGCAGCTGCCTCAGCCTCCCTCTGTGAGCATATGCCAGAGTCCTGGCTGGGAACGCGAGGAAGGTGCCCTGGGGTCCCCCCACCACGGCAGTCAGTGCCCAGCACTGTTGCGGGCTCACTTGGCTCAGCCCTGACCTGAGGGACAGCCTCAGAGCTCTGGCAACATTGAGGATGCAGGCCCCCCTTGCCTTGCCCCAGAGGAGAGGGGATGACACACATGCTGGCATCAGCCATACGGCATACTTCACAACCCGCCATGGGTCAGTGTGGCCTGGCCTGCAGCTCACCTTCTGGGAAGATGAGGATGGGCAGTTTGCTCTTGTCCTGGACATGCTCTGTCAGCCTGCAGGGAAAAGAGAGTCACTGACTGGCACAGCTCCCTGGGGCGCCCTGCTGGTTCTGCACCCAGCAGCCCTGAACATACAGTGCGCACCCATTAACCTTCAGTTAGGGTGCACTCGCTGGGTGCATGTAATGCCCCTGGGACGGGACAGCTCCCAGGCTCCCAAGAGCCACCTGGGACAACCAGAACCCTGACAGGAAGCAGGTTCCTCCTCCCCTGGAGCCAGACAGCCCTGGCTCACCCTCCCCAGCCATGCCTGTATGGAGTTGCGGAGAACCCACTGTCTCCAGCAGGCCCTCCCTTCTCCTGCCTGAGAGAAAGCTATTGACTGCTGTCCTACCTTTTGGCCACAAGATGGCGATCCTTGACCTCAGAGCGTTCGAACCAGACATGGGGACACGCCTTCACCACGGCCCTCTGGATCACGCCCATGAGCCCGCCATGGATCTGACCCACCTGAGCCAGAGGAAGATGCAGGTTAAAGTCTTTGCCTTGGCCGGCAGGAGTCGCCAAGCAGCTCCTAGTCTCATAACTAGACAGATTTCCCCCTCTGTCCCCTTCCCAGCAGAGGGCTGGAGAGACAGCCCTGCCCCTCCCAGGTGGCTGTTAGGGGAAGGTCACACCTGAGGGGTGATGTGCCAAAGTTGCCAGAGTGGAGCGTCTGGGAGGAGCCCAGATCCTCATCATACACTTTATGCTCAGGGTGGCCAGGCTGAGACTGCGACCTGCCCTTTCCACAGCCAGCAAAGCCCACAGCACTAATGGCAAATGTCCTGGGGCCTCTGGAAGTCCTGCGTCCCCACACCAAAGGAGCACTGGCCTTTGCAACTGGGGTGCCCAGAGGCTGCTGAACCACTGCGGGGAATCAACCAGATGTCAGAGGGGCTGTGTATCCAGGCTCGGGGCCCCAGACAAGCCCATTCAGGTCCACACACTTTGCAAACTCCCTAAGCCTCAGAACACCTTCCTCCCCCCAGGCAGAAGAGCACCGGCTCCATCGTACAGCAGCACAGCGACCTGCCCAGGGCAAAGGCCTCTCTGGGGATAGAGGGAGCGGCCCTTACCATAGCGTAGTAGCCATCGCTGGCCAGGATGATCACGTCAATGGGGGAGGTATGATTAGCCACGCAGATGCCTCCATTTCGGGGTCTGTTTTCCCTAAATACAACACAAAACCAAAATGGGGTGACAAGGGACGCAGGAGCCCAGCCTGAGCCAGGGAAGAGCACGGCAAGGCAGGCTGGGAGACGGTGCTGCCCCTTACTGGTCATGGTAGGTGATGATGGCGGTGAGGGCACGCACACAGATTCGGTAACACATCAGGTGAACGTGTTTGCTCAGGAACTCCTTCCACCTGCAGAGGCAGAGCAGAGATTGTTACCACAGACAGCCCCACAAGCCACCCATGCTGGAGCGCCCTACCCTGAGCCAGGAGCTGCTGCAAGGGCCACGTGGTGAGCTGGTGCGTTTACTGGGCTGGGGGAGCTTGGGAATACAGGGTGGGGGAGTGACACGGCTGACCTGACTGTGTACCCTACAAAAGAGTGTACAACAACTTCCCCTCCCCTCATGGAGCATGTGAAGGGCAGAGGTGTTTGTAACTGTACTAACCCAGCCCAACTGGGACACCATGCAGGCTGGCTCCCATCCCATCCATCAGTCCAGCCCAACCCCTTTCCAAGTTAGTCACAAGCCGAGAGAGAAACCCACGAACTGAGAGTGACACTTTGCTCATCTGAGCTGGGCTTTGTGTTTTGCTCCTTTGTAGAGTTCAGGGCTGTGAGGTTTGCCACAGAGGCAAAGTTGTGGCATAGATCCTGCTGTGTCCGTCCCCCCAGGGAGGCAGGTGCCAGTCACCTTGGCCCTTCACCCACAGACATACATCTCGACAGTGGCTGGAATGTAGAGGGGGAGACTCCCCTTCCTGCCCCCCCATCCATACTCCTCCATGTTCAGTGAAGGGCCAACTCACCTTCCACTGGGCAAATATCCCACCACTGTGGTGCCAACCACCAACAAGCTGATGCCTGTGAAGGCCAGGGCAATCCTGCAGGAGGGAGAGGGATGTTACAGGCCAGTGAACAAATTCCATGCAGCCCCGTGGGTGTGAAGCCCTGCTCCTGCCTGCCAGGCAGCAGTCTCTCAATGGACCTGCTGCAGGGTGGGTGTCTCTCTGTGTCCTTGTGCTGCCAGGAGGACCCAGCACCTCTGGCTCCCCTGAGCCAGCTGGGACTGCTGCAGAGAGGATGGGCCCATGGGAATGTACGTGGCCATCTTGGGATCCCCCACCCCAGCTCACACTACTCTGGCTCCCCGCCACTGATCTAACTACCAGACCACACTCTTCTCCCAGGGCTGAAGCCAGAGGCAGGAGCCTCAAGTCCCAGCCCCTGGCTCTAACCATCAGCCCTTGGCCCCTCTCTTGTTGTAGGCAAGACGACTGGAAGCAGCCAACGCGCCAGCCAGTGCAGTGCCAGGGGTGCCCTGCAGGGAGGCCGTTGCCAGGAGCAGCTCCTCACCTGAGTGGCAGCAGGAAGCAGTACCGGATGAGCACACCCAGCCCCCACAGCACAGTGAGGCGCAGGCTGATGTACTGGAAGTTGTAATTGGTCCGGCTGAGCAGGTTCCAAGACTCCAGCTCCTCAGCTGAGAACCGCTTGGTCACCTCGTCGTCCATGATGGTCTCAATGCCCTTGCGGCAGAAGTAGAAGATGTCAGAGAGCTCAAACTCAGGTGTGTCCAGGGCTTTGCTGCTGCCGCTCCGACGGATCTCTTTAATCTCCTCCTCCAGGGATGTGGGCTCCTTTGCAATGATACCTGCAACACGGCCACGTGTTCCAGCGATGGCAGCCTGACAGGCCCGCCCCCTGCCTGCAGGTGGGGCCAGCCCCGGTCCCTCCCTCCCTCCTCCTGCCTGCAGGTGGGGCCAGCCCTGGGCCCTGTCCTAGACATGGGACACCCACAACCAGGTGTGCCCTACATATCTCCCTTGCCCAGAGATAAGGCATTCCCACCCACCCATGACAAGGACCTCCCACATGCACACACAGACATGGAGCTGCTGATGGGAGGGGACGGCAGGCTCTCACCATTTACATAGGGCTTGTACAGTGGGTGGTTCTTCTCCTTGGCACCACGCTCTATCCTCAGCGTCGCCCACTGAAAGAGACACTAGATAAGCAGGCCTTCCAACCCCCCAGGCTTCAAGTCCCTGGCTGTGGGGGCAGAGGTAGGGCTCATTCCAGCAGCTCGAAGAGGGGTTCTCAGCACAGCACTGATGGGAGGTCAGAGCTTACAGAGAGGAGAGAATGGGGATTGGGCTGGGAAAGTCCACTAGCCTACACAGGCAACCAGCCAGGACAGCTGTCTGCTGCGGGACCTGGCTACTAATGAGGATGGTGCATGGGCTGGAGCTGGGGGAGAGCCCCACTGGGAGAGACTGTTGTGCAGGCATCTGCATTCCATTCTGGGCACCATGTCACCTGAGAGATACAGACAGAGCAGAGGAACTTCAGAGAAGAGCAACAACTACCCCAGGGCTGGGGGAGGGCATTATGGAACACCTCTCCCCAGCCCCAGAGCACGCTCTGCGGCTTTCAGGCAGTCCCATGGCACTTTGCTGCTCCCTCACATGGGTGCCATTGGCTGGACTCCATATGGACCCTGATCACTTGTTCTTGCCCCTTGGCAGGGGGCTCCAGCACAGGGTGATCAGGTGACTAACTCAGCACTATTTTCCGATTCTCTTTTCCTCCCTCATGGAATCAGAGGCTGCATTTCAAGGTTGCTGATGGAACCAGCAGGCCAATAGTGTGAAGGGCTGGGACCCCTCCCTTCTCCCACTTGGCTAACAGCTGCTGCTACTTCTCTGTGCACTATTGCTCACAAACAGCAGCCCTGAGCAGCCTCCAGGCAGCTATCTGGCAGCAACAGCCAGAATCAATGCCCAGATCACCCTTATTCACAGAAATCTCCCCCCTCAGCTGCTCCCCAAGGGCACCAGATAAACAAACACACAGGTTGGATTTCCAGCCAGCCTGCCCGCCCTCCACGGAACCTTCTCGATGGCTAGGCTGGGAAGGGTTAGATTTTTCTCTAAATGTCTATTTCACCATACACATGCAAACCACAGAAAAAAATAATTCCATCGATAACGATCAAAATGTACAGCTAAGCAAAGGGAAAAAGGCTGCTTGAGAACCTATCAGAGTTTAACTTACAGAGATTTACTTTGTGAACTCTGACTTGTGATATTGACAAGTTTGTGTTTTAACCATTATAAAGCTTGAACTTTATGAATCTCAATGTCTACTGTCATTATATAACTGTCTGCCCACCCCCCCCAATTTCCCACAACAGTGAAAAATTAAATGGATAAAAATAAAAAATGCTTAAAAATAAACATTGCTATCATTTGCCAAAGTTAGAGAAATTAAAACCAGAATTCTATCAAACTTTTCCGTATCACACCTGCCTTCTTAATTTGGGCCTTGAAAACAAACTCTTAAGGAGAACAAAATGTGTGCACCTACTCCAGCCCCAGTGTCTCCCAGCAGGGGAGCGAGGCCGGAATTGGTGTCCTGGCAGCCTTTGGACAGGTTCCTGTCTGAGGTCAGTCCCTGTTACCAAGGTTTTGGGGGAAAGGGCCCTTGCAGAGTTCTGATCACACCTGCTTTGCTGGCAGCACTGAGCCAGCCCTAAGCCCTGAAAGGCTGATGAGAGCTCCTTCACAGCCAGGCAGACATGTCCTAGGGTAGTCTCCAATCTCCAAGAGCTAAATCCTGGCCATGCCCCATGCTTTGCCAGAGGTCAGAGGAAACACTGCCTCTTGGGCTAGGAGTCTCCCCTGAAACCTCCCACACAACTGGCTAGGTACATCATGGAGCACCGCTACTGCCAGAGGCGAGTACAGAAGTGGCTGAACTTGGACAGACCAACAGTCTGACTTGGGAGAATGACCTAGCTGTCCCCAAAGCTTGCAGAGCTAAGCATGTTGGCCAGGCCTGAGACCCATCACCTCAGGCAGCACCCTCCTTCCTATTATAGACACCAATGGCTGGGCATGAGCATTGCCACACTGCACTCCAGTTCCCTGCATGGAACTTCACTACTGAGTGTAGAGGACACAGCATCATTCTCCTGCGGCCTTGGCCTCCTCCAGGGAACTCAGCAGAGTCCTGGGCCTGCATGGACCCTGTCTCGGGGGAGGCCCAGCTTTAAGGCAGCCCAGGAGATCAGACTGTCAAGGGCAGGCAGGAACAGACTGGAAAATTCCACTTGGCTTCTCTGAGCCAAGAAGCGCCGTGAGGGCTCCTGGCTGCCCCTCAGAGGTCAGAGGTCCAGAGAGGACTTCTGGAAACAGCCCCAGCCAGCCAGCTCCACACTGGCTCTACAGCTGGCAACAGGTCCCAGTGCCAGGCAAGTTTCCTTGGGTCAATGGGCAGAGGGCAGCACAGAACACACTGACCACAAGGGGCAGAGCATGTGGCCAGGGACCCTGTAGGGCAGAGAGCCCAGCTGACACCCAGCTTCCTTCACCCAAACTTGTGTTAAAGAAGAGATGCTGTTTCTGCTGCCCCAGATGAACAGCCCTCCCCAACCCCAGGAACGAGGTGCCTGCTCCTCACCCCGCCCGCAGGCCCTGTTCCCCTTGGTCTCCTCCCACCACGGGGCTGTTCTTGAGAGGTGCTGAAATCTGCCCTTGCTTGGGTCTGCCATGTGTGAGACTCAGGCCGTCTCTCTCCAGAGGTTTCAGAGTAGCAGCCATGTTAGTCTGTATCTGCAAAAAGGAAAGGAGGACTTGTGGCACCTTCGAGACTAACCAATTTATTTGAGCATAAGCTTTCATGAGCTACAGCTAAGATGAAGCATCCGATGAAGTGAGCTGTAGCTCACGAGAGCTTATGCTCACATAAATTTGTTAGTTTCTAACGTGCCACAAGTCCTCCTGTTCTTTTTTCTCTCCAGAGGGGCTCTGCTGCTGTCAGCCAGTGACAATACAGTCTCTGCAGCACTTGTTTACAAGGCCTTTGTCCTCAGCATGGGGGCATTTTGGAATGACCTACAAGCACAGCTCTATGGAGCTGGAGCTGGCTCAATAACAGAGTGTGGCTAAGATGCCTGAGTCACTCCAAAGACCCCCCCGGGGGTTTCTAGCACCAACACTTGGATCACCAACAGCCCAACTCTCATTCAGCAACCCACACCACCACCATCCAGGGACACCCTCTATTTGAAGGCACATGCCCCTGGCAGGGATCTCCCCCAGGCACATGGACAGTGGTCAGGGCACCCGAGCTCCTGCACAGTACATCCTGGAAGCATGACTCACCCGGAAAATCTTTAAGAGTGTTTTCATATAAATCCTGCGGATGCCAAAGGAAACCCCAAAAATGGCTGGCACAATGATGAAAACCAGAAGCAGTGTGAAGAGGACGGTCAGGGAGATCCCCAGCAGGTTAACAACCAGGCTGTCAAAGGGGAGCAGGAGGAACATGATGGAGGGTCCAGGCAAGGCCAACGCCCTGCGACCCTGGGGCCAGGAGAGAAGGGCTGTCCACAGCGATCAGCCAGTCCTCCTGCTAAACAGCAACAGTCCCATGCATGCTCCGAGTCCCCAGCAGGTCACAGACTCCATTCCAAAGTTCACATCCTTTCCTAGCAGCCCGCAGGAGGAGGAATGCGAGGGAACCAGACGAGAGAACGGTCAGGCGAGACTGAGCAGCTTGGTCTCTGGGGCTCAGCGTGGCTGGAACATGGAGCGTGGGTTCTTAGAGGGTTTGCGAGTGGCAGTGTAACAAGGCAGCTGTGTGAACGGGGATTCCCCCTGTGGCCCACCAAACAAGTCTTGTTGCAGGGTGACTCCTGCGCGGCCAGACAGTGGAATTCCCTTTGGCTTGTTGAGGAAGGAACAAGGAGAGGTCTTTTCATAGGGGTGAGGTGGGGTCCATTCCTGATTCCGCATTGGAGGACCTCTGGAAAAATCGGTATTTCTAGGAGCCTGCCACGTGCGGAGCTACTGTCTTTGCCACCACTAGTTCGGAGCCTCTCCTGCCGCCTGTAATAAATATCATTCCAGAGACCTCTGGCATCCACCCATGCTGGAGTCCTTGCGGAAAAGGACAGTGCCTCTGCCCCTGTGAGGGCCCCTGAGCTGTGAGCTGCCTTCTTGGCAAGAGAGCCCCTCACATGCCACCAGTGCTAGGGGAGGAAAGAAAAAACAGAGTCAGGCAAATCAGGTAGCGAGACGTCAACGCACAGAGGGTCTCCTGAGGCCCAGGAGCAGAAAGGCGCTGGATCTGAGAGGGCAGAGTTCAAGCTGAGGACACACTGCTCACAGTGCAGGGTTTGGGAATCAGCAGATCTGAATCCTCAGCTCCTGCCTCACACTGGTACAGCGCAAACAGCTGGGAAGTGGGCTCGCTACCCTCCTGGTCCCTGCATTTTCAGCCTAGGCCCGCAATTCAGATCAGTGCAGGCTCACAGAGGTACTGCATAAGGCCGGTGAGTGTCCAGAGCAGGAGAGCAGCAAATGGAGTGAGGGACCCCCTCCTGACTGATAAGGATATCACCACTCAGCACCTCTATCCTGAGGGATCCCTGAGCACTTTACTAGCTACACCCAGAAACATTTCTTCCACCACTGAACACAGCCTCTCTGGGGTGGGGCTTGGCAGCTGTTTGACACATGGCAGCACTACAATGGACTTTAGGACAGGAAGTGAAGTAATCCTGCAGTGAGAATAAAAGGAGGCTAAATATGATTATCCAAATTGGAACTTGCCAGGTGACTGTGACTAAAACCAAAGTCAGTGTCTCAGTGTTACATCTCATCTGAGAGATGGCACCTCCAGGTGCACAGCATTCTTTGCATCATGCTGGGACACGGCTCAATTCCCACTCCATAGAGAGCTTCTCCCGCTGAATCACTGGGGTGGGGGGAGAGGGCAATTCCCATCCACCTACTGCCCTGTCCTGACCCTCTGATACACAGTGACAGGCAATAGGTGGGGGCACCAAGCCCAGCTCTGCAGGAGGAGTCATTCCCAACCACAGGACAGCTGGGGAAGCAGAAGAGCGCTCCCTTCCCCTTTCAGACAACCCTCCAGCCCCGCTTGGCTTCCCGCTACTTCCCACAGCACACTGGAGGCTCTGGCTGCTGGCTCAGCACCACTGTATCAGGCACTGCTAAGAGCATCCTCCGTGCTGCATGGAATGCCGCCCCAGTAAACCCTGCTCCCCAAAGAAGACACTCTCTGCCTATCCCTGCTGCTGCCTTCTTCTCCTATGGGCCAAGCCTTGCTGATCAGTCGCCTAACTCCCCAGAATGTCAGCCCCCTCATGCACCAAACCCAGGAATCCCACGTGGCAAACTAACCAGTCAGCCCAGCCAGCCTACCCACCACCGCCCTGACTCACCAGAAGGTGCCTGGGTGGAGAAGAGAAAGAATTATAGGACTTAATTAGCACATTCCTTCCATGTAACACCCTGTTCTGGCCTAATGGCCCAGTTCAAATCATGCCCTGGCAATGACCAGCAGCACCAGGCATAGTTTGAAGCAACCCTGTTCAGCTTTGCTCACAAGCTTCAGCCACAGAAGTTTCTAGACAGGGTGGTGACACTGTCACTGGGATCTCTAGCTGGTGTCACCCTTGCACGCTCCCTGTGGAACCCAACTGCTGGAATGATTGTCTCAGAGGCCCTCCAGGAACAGCCCAGATCAGGCTGCATAGCTGGCTGCTTTCCCAAGATAGCTCCAAGGGTCCACACCCTGCAGGGATCTCATGCTGATACCCACAGAGTGCAGGCTCCTGTCCTCCACCACCAGCAGGGTTGGATGAGGAACTTTTACCTCAACAACCAGATTTTCATAGTACAATGTTGTACAAACTACAATTACTTCTCACAAGCCCCTGGGAACCAGTCAGGGAAGCACATTCTGCCCATTTTACTCATGGGCAATAGCAGCACGAGGAAAAGGGACCAGCCCAAGGTCATGCTGCAAGTCAGTGAAAAGCTGGGGTTCTACCCCAGAGTCCCCGGTCTCAGAGCTCTGCTCTAAGCACTAAACAAGGGAAACATATTGTTGTGAACACAGGGACCCTGCCAGAACCCCAGGAGAGATCAGCAATCCCTTTCCTCTCAGCAATGGCTCCTAGAACAGTGCCATGCTATCAGGGGAAACCACTCTACGGCCCAGAGTGGACTCAGGTGCTTGCAACCCATTCTCTGCAGCGTGTGTAATCACTGAGGCATCCCAGGGGCAGGACAGGTAAGAGCATCCACTGCACCGCACACAACAGAACAGCCAAAGGCAGGAGGGGCCCTGCCCCAGGGCATCAGCCTGGTTTCAAGGGCTCGACAGCAGCGCCAGTGCAGGTGTCCGTTCCCTGAAATGGGACGCGGGGCCGTAGCTGGACGCCCGCATGGGGGCGGGAGGGGGAGCCGTGACCCCGCTGCTCTGATCCACGCAGCGCGGGCTGGGCGAGCCGACTGGGCCCGCGCAGCGCAGCAGAAGAGGGGAAACCAGGCTGAATGGGCCCAGACCGGGACCCTCCAGTATCTCCCACGCAGAGCCCGGGGCTGCGCAGAGCGCTGGGAGCCGGCGGCGCCGTGGGGAAGGGGTTTGCGGGGTGTTGGGACGGGGGGTGGCCCAGAATGGTCCAGCGCCGGGCACTGCACAGGCCAGAGAGCGGGGGGACCCACCGCGACACGGGAACCCCTCAGTGGGGCCGCAGTGCAGGGCCCACGTGGGGAGCAGCGAGGAGGGAGCAAAGGGAGGGAGTCTCCAATCGGGGCGGGGGTGGGAGGGGCGTTCTGCGCGGACAGCCCCATCTCACAGGACGGCGGGGGGGGGGGCGCTCTGCGCGGACGGCCCCATCTCACAGGACGGCGGGGGGGGGGGGGGCGCTCTGCGCAGACGGCCCCATCTCACAGGACGGCTGGGGGGTGGGGGGGCGTTCTGCGCGGACGGCCCCATCTCACAGGACGGCGGGGGGTGGGGGTGGCGTTCTGCGCGGACGGCCCCATCTCACAGGACGGCGGGGGTTGGGGGTGGCGTTCTGCGCGGACGGCCCCATCTCACAGGACGGCGGGGGGTTGGGGGTGGCGTTCTGCGCGGACGGCCCCATCTCACAGGACGGCGGGGGGTGGGGGTGGGGGGGCGTTCTGCGCGGACGGCCCCATCTCACAGGACGGCGGGGGTGGGGGGGGGGGGGCGTTCTGCGCGGACGGCCCCATCTCACAGGACGGCGGGGGGTGGGGGTGGGGGGGCGCTCTGCGCGGACGGCCCCATCTCACAGGACGGCGGGGGGTGGGGGTGGGGGGGGGGGCGCTCTGCGCGGACGGCCCCATCTCACAGGACGGCGGGGGGGGGGGGGGGGGGGGGCGCTCTGCGCGGACGGCCCCATCTCACAGGACGGCGGGGGGGTGGGGGTGGGGGGGGCGTTCTGCGCGGACGGCCCCATCTCACAGGACGGCGGGGGGTGGGGGGTGGGGGGGCGCTCTGCGCGGACGGCCCCATCTCACAGGACGGCGGGGGGTGGGGTGGGGGGCGCTCTGCGCGGACGGCCCCATCTCACAGGACGGCGGGGGGTGGGGTGGGGGGCGCTCTGCGCGGACGGCCCCATCTCACAGGACGGCGGGGGGTGGGGTGGGGGGCGCTCTGCGCGGACGGCCCCATCTCACAGGACGGCGGGGGGTGGGGTGGGGGTGGGGGGGCGCTCTGCGCGGACGGCCCCATCTCACAGGACGCCCGGGGGGTGGGGTGGGGGGGCGCTCTGCGCGGACGGCCCCATCTCACAGGACGGCGGGGGGTGGGGTGGGGGGGCGCTCTGCGCGGACGGCCCCATCTCACAGGACGGCGGGGGGTGGGGTGGGGGGGCGTTCTGCGCGGACGGCCCCATCTCACAGGACGGTGGGGTGGGGGGGCGCTCTGCGCGGACGGCCCCATCTCACAGGACGGCGGGGGGGTGGGCGTTCTGCGCGGACGGCCCCATCTCACAGGACGGCGGGGGGGTGGGGGTGGGGGGCGCTCTGCGCGGACGGCCCCATCTCACAGGACGGCGGGGGGGTGGGGGGCGCTCTGCGCGGACGGCCCCATCTCACAGGACGGCGGGGGGTGGGGGGGGCGCTCTGCGCGGACGGCCCCATCTCACAGGACGGCGGGGGGTGGGGGGGGGGGCGCTCTGCGCGGACGGCCCCATCTCACAGGACGGCGGGGGGTGGGGGGGGGCGCTCTGCGCGGACGGCCCCATCTCACAGGACGGCGGGGGGGTGCGCGCACTCCCTGCAGGCCAGGGGGTGGGGGATAACGGTTTTCCATTGCCGCCCGGGCGGGACTCCCCCCGGGGCTCGGCGGCAGGGAGCTCCCAGGGATCGGGCAGGGTATGTAAAGCCAGGCCGAACCGGGCCAGTGTCACTCACCTGCCGCCGCCACCGCCGAGCTCCGGCTCCGCCTCCCCCACGTACCGTGCGCGTGCCCGCCCTTCGCCCTGGGTTACGTAAAACGTCCTCGCGCGGCCCGCACGGGCACGAGTCAGCACTCTGCACGCCGCCTTGGCGTCAGGGACTGCGCGGGGCGGACCGCGGAACTCGGGGGCGTGTCCTGCGGGCGCCCCGCCCTCTGGGTGCCGCCTCAGCCTCGTCACGGCAGTCACATGGCCGCGACGTGGTGACGTAGTCAGAGAAGCAAGGCGAACGGCAACCCGCGGCACGAGGGCCCGGGCCCCGGCCCCGCCCACCGCGGGTGCCGGCCTGTCCGGCAGCAGCTGTCCGCTGTAGTGATGCTTCCGGCCCAGCAGAGGGCGGCGGCGCCACGGCCTCCCGGCAAAGGGACACGCCGGGGGCGTGCTCGGGGCGGGGCCAGGACGCCTGGGTTCCGCCCCGGGCAACGCGCGGCCGGGCACAGAATGGGGGGGGTCCCCTGGAGAGCGGGCCGGGCCGGGCACAGAATGGGGGGGGTCCCCTGGAGAGCGGGCCGGGCCGGGCACAGAATGGGGGGGTCCCCTGGAGAGCGGGCCGGGCCGGGCACAGAATGGGGGGGTCCCCTGGAGAGCGGGCCGGGCCGGGCCGGGCCGGGCCGCGCCGCGCAGCTCCCGGGCGAGGCGCCAAGGCTGGGGCAGGGGCAGGGGCAGGGGCTGAGCGCTCCCAGGAGCCTTGGCCGCCGCGACGCCTTCGGCCCGCCCGGCGCTGGCCCCTGGCCCCCCGCCCACGCGGCGCTGGCCCAGTGCCGAGGTGGGGGGTTTCGGCACCCCCCCCCCGCCCGCTCGGGGGCTGTTTCTCCGGCCCCAGCACGGACCTTTCCTGTGGTCGCTGCAACCCTGGGCAACCCCGTCCCGCCCCCCACGCCCCCAGCCAGGCGAACGCCGTTCAGCGGGAAGACACCGTGATGAACTACGTCTGGCCCTGTAGCGGGTGCAGGACAAAGCCCCAGTTCCGTTACTGAGCGGGGTGCCAGACCTGCTGCCAGCCGTCTCCCTTCCTCCTGCCTCACTTCCTTCCTCGGGCCTGTAAAAGCGCTGATGGGGTGGGCGAGGGAAGAGGTTTAATGACAACGCGCCGAGTCTAAGGGGGCAATTGTTAGCTATATAACATGGCCTGGGACACATTAAAAAACCCTTTAACCCTGAGCCCCAGTCCAGGACCCACCCCTGGCAGGGGAGAAGCTGTTTATGATGAGAGGAGAACATTACTGCTCTTTGCATCTCCCAGCTAAGGGTTAAGGTTGGGGGCTTTTAAGGGTTTTTAGGCCTAACTCGATAGCCACACACCATCTGAACACTTTGCCTTTGCTAACCTGCAGATTGCAAGTCACACAGCCAAGCCTGGCTTGTTGATTTGTGATAATGGTCAAGGCCATTATAGGCAGAGGTGCTTTAATTTACTTACCAAGCTGCCAGTAAAGTCTGGTTTCCCACCTGAGCAGGGGACACAGGAGTAACATGGTAGGGGAGTGCTAGTTAGGCTGCAGTCATGGCAGATCTGAGGCTCTTCCTAGGGCTTGTCTACACTACCGAGTTTTGTTGACAAAACTTATGTCAATACCCAAAAGTCGACAAAACAAAAATTGCCAAAGGGTGTTCACACTTGCTCCCTCTGTCAACAGTTCGTGTCCACACTGGGGACACCATCATCGACAGGGTGAGCAATGCACGATGGGTATGTATCCCACAGTGCCCCGTTGTGGGAAGCAAGAGCTGATCCGGTGCATCTTGGGATTCTCTCTGAGTTCTCCCACAGCCCCCTCAGCTGCCCAGAGCAGCATCACGCGTAGCTCTGTGAAAGCAGCACAGCAGTCTGTGTTCCCAGTGCAGGGCAGGGCAGGGCAGGAGCATTCCCAAGATTTGCTCTTTCTTTGTTCCCTCAAGGGAGCTCCACACAGATACTTCCCAGAGCTTTGAAAGGGGAGGGGCGCATGCCTGCAGGGCAGCAGAGATCAAACCACTGAGCAGAGCAATCAGGGCAGGCATTGTGGGATACTGGCAGAAGCCAGTTCTGTGGACAGAACAATCAGCAGCGTGTACACGCTCTTTGTCAACAATAAAGGGAGGGGAAAAGATAAGTCTCTCAGAGGGGTGGAAGTTTTTTTTATGGCCAACGCTCTTGCTGTTTTGTCACCAAAAGGCAGTTTTTGGCAACAAAACTTGTCAGTGTAGACAAGCCCCTGTAGCCCCACTGACCACCCCTCCCAAGGGGAAGGGCCTGAATCAACCTAAACTTGCTCAGCTCCTCCCAACAGCACAGGGAGCTCTGGCAGTTGTTGAGAAGAATGGGGGCTGCCTGCCCTAGGGGAAATCAGGGCCAGGGCTCCTTATTCTGTAACAGGCACAGCATGATGGGTTGCTTTCGGTGGTGCTCTGCGTTCCACCAGCCACACACCAAACACTGCACTCAGTAGCATATGCTGCAGGCAGCCAGACCTGGGGGGACTCCTACCTGGGGGGCACTGTGCTGTAGGAGCCGGCATGCACCTGTCACTGACTGCACCACAGCTGCTGGCCTCTTTGAAGACTGCAAGCTGCAAAGGGGCATGCAAGGAGCTGAAAGGGACAGTATTTGGTGGTAGGAGCTGGGTCCATGCAAGGTGAGTCACCTAGGACCCAGGTACCTGCCTGGAGCTGTAACTTACCGAGGCCCAGGGTGAGTTATGTGCTGGTGCTGCAGGGTGCTCACTGGGCCACAGTCCAACCAAAGAGGCTTTTGCTGTAATGGACTCAGGAATTAGGAGCTATAGATATCACTGCTATGTCACCTTCCAATCCCAGCTGCCTGCTAATCACTGGCAAAGGATGCAGGAGCTAACGGGCTTTCAGTTCCATGACGCAAGCCCGTGAAATCCTGGCTCCTTGGGGCAGCTTACTACCTAAAGGTGAGGAGCAGAGAAGGGCATAAGAAAAAGGGACCCTGAACAGACACACATCCCACAAGAGGGGCAAGAGACACTGGGGCTGCACCAGCAGCCAGGCAATACAGGAAAGCCAGGGAGAAGAGGCTTCTGGGACACCCCTAGACTCTTTCACACCATTGAAGTTCCTGGCACGTGGCAATGGGGGGAAACTCCAGGAGGCAGTGTGGGTTTGGCATTTCTTCCCACAGCCCTAGGACAAGGGAGAGAGAGATTTTGGTCACAGTTCCTCGTGCCTCAAAGCACCCAGCCCTGAGCAGAGTGGTGAAGGCAGGGCAGAGAAAGATTCAAAGCTCTTGCTGAGCTTCCCTTGGAGGTTCCTGCTGGACTACAGCCTGGGCAGTGACCAGAGGCTCCCAGCAGGAGGTGCACTTGGAGGGATGAGGAGGAAGGTGTTGCCATTTCTCTGGCTTGCAAAATTGCTCCTTCCCTTGGTGAAATGGGATGAGCTCTGTTCAGGGGAGGGATAGGAAACCTAAGACAGGCTTGTGCCTATCATCCACCTACACTGGCAAGGCAATTCTCCCCAGCAGTAATCCAGTTTGGGGACAACACAATCCATGCAGCCAGGGGGTCTGTAACTGAAGTGAGCTGTAGCTCACGAAAGCTCATGCTCAAACAAATTGGTTAGTCTCTAAGGTGCCACAAGTACTCCTTTTCTTTCTACTTCCATGTGATTCATTGAGGGGGATGGGCTACCTTACCAATACCAGGGAGATCACATCTCCCCATCCTGTGTTTGATGGGGGGGGGGGGGGTTTCCAGCCCATTATTGGGGCAGTGGGTGCTAGACCTATTCTTTGTGCAGGAAATCATCAGCATTTGGCTGTTTAGGCTGCAGTCACAAGACAACGGCAGGGTTCTCAATATACAGAGACTTTATTAAGGTTCTGAATCTATTCACAACAGCTAAAACCGGAAGGTTTCCCAGTGGCCCAGGCCCAAGATCGCAGCAGCAGCCAGCCCAGATAAGCACTGACAGCCGGTCCAGCTCAGCCTGTGCCCTGCACGGACTGCAGGGACACAGTGTCACTCAGAGTGAGCCAGGCTACACCTGCACTTTGCACACTGTCACTGCACCGATTTACCGCCCTCCTGGAGGGCGGCCAATGACACCAGACGCAGGTGAGCGTGGTCCCCTACGGAGGCGTGATACGAACTGACGCAGCGACCAATGTACTGTGTCACTAGCGGCCTCAGCAAAAGCCAGCCGAGCCCAGGCCAGCCTTCCTCCCACAGCAGCAGGTCCTGAAGGAGCACATCCCAATGAGCCGCTCACCACCCTACCAGGCCACCTGCAGTCTGTCATCTTCAATGTGAAGAACCTGCCAGCCACCCCCACTGGGGTAAATGAGACAGAAGCCCTAACAGCCAGGCCGGTGCCTTGTCCCGCAGCCCCTTGCCATTGAGAGGATTTAAAGTGACAGCCACTGGTTCCCTTCAGGGGGGATGTAGGCGTAGCTCACGGTACGGATGCTGGCCATTGGGTGCCGCAGACATTCATACCATTATCTGCAGCACGGGCCTGGATGCCTATTTGTCCCAAATGCCTGGCAACTACAAGGCACTTAGGCAGCCTCTCCCATTTCTGTTTCTATGCCCACTGGGTCTGCCGTTCTGACCTACACCCCCACCGAGTCCAAAGACCCTTGGTTGCTAGGCTGGCTGGGCAGTTTTTATTGAGGATTGGCAACTCAGTCCTTTGACCCGCCAGCAGCTTTGCTGGCCTCTGCAAACAAGCCAAGGTCTGGCCTAGCCCTTCCCCAGCTACTTTCACAAATGAGGAGACAGCAGCGGGAGATGCCCCCCGCACAATCCCTGCCCAGCCTCCCTGGCACAGTCTCTGCTAGTGATGTGTTCTGCGCTAAGAACCCACACCCAGGATTCAAGCTGAGCTACGGCCTCCAGCTTCTATGGCAGGTCCTGGTGCTGAAGCAGCGTCCACGAAGACCAGAGGGGACACAGACAAGCTAGTGACGTAGCGAGCAGTGTCTTCCGCAGCGGGACCCCCGCAAGGCATTGCCTCTGCTGGAGCGGAGCATTTGTACCCACACTTAGAACTCTCATTCCTACCAGTATGGACCATGGTTCTCCAAACGCCTCCAGGTCTGCCAGTGAGAGAGGACC